ATCTCTATGGACTTGCACACCGTTGCAATAGCAGTAGTGAGGCAGATCGGAGGCTGTTCAGAAGCTGGGGGAGCATCCTCGTGAAGCTGCAGATGATTCTCCCACCTCGCTATCACCCCGTTCGGAAGTTGAGCGAGGATGTGGGTGGTCAAGGCCTTCAAGACATCGGACGGCAGTTTTCTGAGGAAACTGTCGGCTAGGAACCGGATCTCAGCAGGCTCACTCCCATACACGGAGAACCATAAGTTGCCAATAATGGTCACCTGCTGGTTAAAGGTCTCAGCCATGTTGACGGATATGAATTTGAGGGCTCGCAGGCGACGGGACACTTCTGCACGGAGTGATGACTTGGAACCAAACTGTCGCAGCAACGGTGTTGTAGTAGCGGTCCACCTATATTTAGACGTTTGAGCAGCACTCTCTGCTGCCTCATGCAGCTTAGAGCATCCCTCCACGGAGTTGAGAAGCTTAGCCACGAGTGAGGTCTCCCGCCCAATGGGTACAAAGACATCCTCAATGTACTTGCCGTGGCCGTGGTCGTTCATGATACGACAAAACATATCCAGATGGCTAACGAAGTTGAACGGGTCCTTGAGTTTTGGGATCAGGATCTTACTCAATGGGTAACCCGATCTCGAAGTCTTCTGGGGGGATTTCGATCCTTCTGGTGACTCTTCTTTTGCCGGAGGATCGATCTCCACATTGTGATACTCCAGCACAGAACGGCTAAGCGGGGGGAAAGATGACACCCGACGGCTTTCTTGAGGTGCAGCTGGGATGCCGTGGCATGATGCCCCCGCACTAAGACCAGGTGCGGGTGGAGGTAGGCGGCTTTGGACATCGGCGAGAAGGCGATCGTCGACAGCGCGCTCAGCCTCGGCCACTGCAACTTCAGCATCAGATACTTGACGCTCCAGTTCATCTTCTCGATCACATAGAGCTGTATATTCAGCATCATCAACGTCCTCATCTTCCGAGACGTAGTCGCCATGGTCGTAGGTGGCTATCTCCGTCTTCACTCGCTTGAGCAAGTTAGCGAGTCGAGTGCGGTTTCGCCGAGCAACAGTCCGAGCAGTTTTCAGTTCTTGCAACGATGCAGGCTGAAGTGGATCCTCAGAGATCCTGCCGCTGTCGCCTTCTCGCCGATGTCCAAAGCCGCCTACCTCCACCCGCACCTGGTCTTAGTGCGGGGGCATCATGCCACGGCATCCCAGCTGCACCTCAAGAAAGCCGTCGGGTGTCATCTTTCCCCCCGCTTAGCCGTTCTGTGCTGGAGTATCACAATGTGGAGATCGATCCTCCGGCAAAAGAAGAGTCACCAGAAGGATCGAAATCCCCCCAGAAGACTTCGAGATCGGGTTACCCATTGAGTAAGATCCTGATCCCAAAACTCAAGGACCCGTTCAACTTCGTTAGCCATCTGGATATGTTTTGTCGTATCATGAACGACCACGGCCACGGCAAGTACATTGAGGATGTCTTTGTACCCATTGGGCGGGAGACCTCACTCGTGGCTAAGCTTCTCAACTCCGTGGAGGGATGCTCTAAGCTGCATGAGGCAGCAGAGAGTGCTGCTCAAACGTCTAAATATAGGTGGACCGCTACTACAACACCGTTGCTGCGACAGTTTGGTTCCAAGTCATCACTCCGTGCAGAAGTGTCCCGTCGCCTGCGAGCCCTCAAATTCATATCCGTCAACATGGCTGAGACCTTTAACCAGCAGGTGACCATTATTGGCAACTTATGGTTCTCCGTGTATGGGAGTGAGCCTGCTGAGATCCGGTTCCTAGCCGACAGTTTCCTCAGAAAACTGCCGTCCGATGTCTTGAAGGCCTTGACCACCCACATCCTCGCTCAACTTCCGAACGGGGTGATAGCGAGGTGGGAGAATCATCTGCAGCTTCACGAGGATGCTCCCCCAGCTTCTGAACAGCCTCCGATCTGCCTCACTACTGCTATTGCAACGGTGTGCAAGTCCATAGAGATCGCAGAGTCCTTTGGGGGGCAGTTTACGACGGGGGTCAAGCGACCAGAGAAGATTCATAGGGTCAAGGACTCTAGTAGCCCAGCGCCAATCTCTGACTTCGTGGCGCAACATCCAGAAGGAACCATTATGTATTTTCGAACGAATAAAACTGAGGTCGCCGATGATGACATTCGAGAACACTTCTCGAGACTGGGAGCAAAGTCTATTCTGATCCTCCATCACTCCCATGGTCACACTTACGGTTTTGCCGCGTTCGGTGATGGCGATCACATGAAGAGTAACCTCAATGCTGCGACGTCCGCGGAGATGGGCGTCACTACTCGACCTTTTCAGAAGCCGGGAAAAGCCACAGGGCCTCGTTACCATCGCCGCCAGTAGGGTACGAGGCCCGTTCTACTTTTACTGGTCGTAATTCATTAAAGTCTGCAACTTGCTGTACACTTCCAGATGATTGCTCCGGGAGCCCCAATCTGTCGGGTTCTGAACCATTCTGCTCCCCGGAGGGTCGAAGTCCTAGATGTATGATTTCTTGTATTCCATTGAAGTCGTCAACTGATGCTGTCTCCCTCTCCTCGGCTAAGTTGATAGAGAAGGCCGAGAGCCCTTGTCGGGCGGATGATGTCGACGATATAATCCAGCAATCGTCATCTCTTAATTCGTCTCTTCCAGAGATTGTTGTTCTTGGGCGCCTCGCGGGCGTCGAGGTCGACTGTGTGGTTGATTCCGCTTCTGGTTACTCGTACGTGGCCACCGATGATACTGATCGTCTTCCAGTATCATCATACAAGCTCGAGCATCCGTTAGCTGTCAGGGTTGCCAATGGATCTATTGTAGAGGTCCATTCCGCTGTCTCCGGTATCCTTGAATTGCTCGATGCACTTTCTCAGGCTACGGTCTGTTCCTCCGAGATATGCTTCTTCGAGATGTCCACCGAGGTTATGGGCACTGTGGAGTGGACTATATGTGTGGTAAGGTTGGTCAAGGCTTCCACGCTGAGAGACTCCGATCCGCGGCTGTAGCGGTGCGGCAGCACTGTGTCTTCTGTGCACGGTTCTGTGCGACGTTCCCTAAGAACTGGGCCGTTCCGTGTGGGGGACCCTTTTTTGACATTAGTAGTCTCATGAAACTGCCTGCCTACAGTGTCGTCGGGATCGACTACGTCTCCTTGGCACCTAAGGTCAAAGCCATTGTCTGCGTCTGTGCGGCAACACGGCATTGTACTTTGTTATATACTCCCAGAGAGGACTCAAAGTGCTCTCTGGATTCTATCAAGGAGCTGTCTCTGATGTTCGGCCGTCCATTGTGCGTCTTCTCAGACCGTGCGGCTTATTTTCGCAGCAGTTCATTCTTGGATGGTCTCAAGAACTTGGGCATTCAAAGTGTGCATTTGGCTTCTCGCTCGCCATTTGAAGGGTCTCTATATGAGCGCCGAAACCAAGAAGTTCGCCGTCTACTTCGCTTCTTTGGTGAGTTGCCATTATTCAGGCGACTATTGGCCACATTTGATTCGAGTTCTGTTGCTGACGTTGCCTCCTTGCGGATGTTGTTGATGGAGATTTCGCTCATTATGAATCAGCGACCGCTCGGTATCAGCAGTACTGGTGAGGAAGTGAATACTATATGCCCTGATAGTCTGTGTTTCGGTTATATCCGACGAACAGATCGCCTCACTGAGCCCTTGTTCGAATTGTCCCAAGATGGTGTTCGCTGCGGTGGGGATGATGATCCCGGTATCGACCTACTCATCGAATCTGCTGCTGTTCGTCAAGGTGGTCCGGGTTTCTTACCTGGAGGCGCTCTCGGGACGCCTCCTAGGCGATTATCAGCTGTTAGAAACTCTTTTCTCTCTTTTCACTTTCAGTGGTTAAAGGATCGTTCCACCCGCAATGCCCGGGGTGGCAGTAGAGGTAGAGCGGGAGTTCTTTCTTTCGCTGCTGATGAGTTGGTCTTTGTCAAGAGCGGCAAGTCTATCAATCCTGCTCGGGTTGTCAAGACTCTCCCTGGCTCTGATGGTGTTGTTAGACGTCTCTTAGTACGTAACATCAAGTCAGGTCGAGAATCCACCGTCTCTCATCATAATGTCGCTAAGTCCTGCATAGAGTCAGATCTTCAGGTGTAGTTGGCTATTGAATCTGGGGACCGTAGATATGTTGCCATTTAGCCGAGATTCAACTAGCCATAGTCTGTAACTCTGACTTTAACCTTCACTCATTCTTTTCACGTGGACAGCACGCAAGCGCCAGCCTATTGTACTTGCGTGCTCGCCCTTCTCCATAATACGTCTTTATTTCGTCTCCTCCCCATGAGTCGTGTTACAGAGCAGTTGCGCAACGATACGAACAGGCAACAATCTGAAAAGGTCGAGTAGTGACGCCCATCTCCGCGGACGTCGCAGCATTGAGGTTACTCTTCATGTGATCGCCATCACCGAACGCGGCAAAACCGTAAGTGTGACCATGGGAGTGATGGAGGATCAGAATAGACTTTGCTCCCAGTCTCGAGAAGTGTTCTCGAATGTCATCATCGGCGACCTCAGTTTTATTCGTTCGAAAATACATAATGGTTCCTTCTGGATGTTGCGCCACGAAGTCAGAGATTGGCGCTGGGCTACTAGAGTCCTTGACCCTATGAATCTTCTCTGGTCGCTTGACCCCCGTCGTAAACTGCCCCCCAAAGGACTCTGCGATCTCTATGGACTTGCACACCGTTGCAATAGCAGTAGTGAGGCAGATCGGAGGCTGTTCAGAAGCTGGGGGAGCATCCTCGTGAAGCTGCAGATGATTCTCCCACCTCGCTATCACCCCGTTCGGAAGTTGAGCGAGGATGTGGGTGGTCAAGGCCTTCAAGACATCGGACGGCAGTTTTCTGAGGAAACTGTCGGCTAGGAACCGGATCTCAGCAGGCTCACTCCCATACACGGAGAACCATAAGTTGCCAATAATGGTCACCTGCTGGTTAAAGGTCTCAGCCATGTTGACGGATATGAATTTGAGGGCTCGCAGGCGACGGGACACTTCTGCACGGAGTGATGACTTGGAACCAAACTGTCGCAGCAACGGTGTTGTAGTAGCGGTCCACCTATATTTAGACGTTTGAGCAGCACTCTCTGCTGCCTCATGCAGCTTAGAGCATCCCTCCACGGAGTTGAGAAGCTTAGCCACGAGTGAGGTCTCCCGCCCAATGGGTACAAAGACATCCTCAATGTACTTGCCGTGGCCGTGGTCGTTCATGATACGACAAAACATATCCAGATGGCTAACGAAGTTGAACGGGTCCTTGAGTTTTGGGATCAGGATCTTACTCAATGGGTAACCCGATCTCGAAGTCTTCTGGGGGGATTTCGATCCTTCTGGTGACTCTTCTTTTGCCGGAGGATCGATCTCCACATTGTGATACTCCAGCACAGAACGGCTAAGCGGGGGGAAAGATGACACCCGACGGCTTTCTTGAGGTGCAGCTGGGATGCCGTGGCATGATGCCCCCGCACTAAGACCAGGTGCGGGTGGAGGTAGGCGGCTTTGGACATCGGCGAGAAGGCGATCGTCGACAGCGCGCTCAGCCTCGGCCACTGCAACTTCAGCATCAGATACTTGACGCTCCAGTTCATCTTCTCGATCACATAGAGCTGTATATTCAGCATCATCAACGTCCTCATCTTCCGAGACGTAGTCGCCATGGTCGTAGGTGGCTATCTCCGTCTTCACTCGCTTGAGCAAGTTAGCGAGTCGAGTGCGGTTTCGCCGAGCAACAGTCCGAGCAGTTTTCAGTTCTTGCAACGATGCAGGCTGAAGTGGATCCTCAGAGATCCTGCCGCTGTCGCCATCTTGTTGCCTGTTCGTATCGTTGCGCAACTGCTCTGTAACACGACTCATGGGGAGGAGACGAAATAAAGACGTATTATGGAGAAGGGCGAGCACGCAAGTACAATAGGCTGGCGCTTGCGTGCTGTCCACGTGAAAAGAATGAGTGAAGGTTAAAGTCAGAGTTACAGACTATGGCTAGTTGAATCTCGGCTAAATGGCAACACACCCACTGGCCGGGGTTCTGCATCCACCACTCCCTTTGATGTCACTGATTTCGCCAATGGAACTTCGAGGTTGAGCCGAGCTACCTTAGAGGTGCTGCGATGATTCAGCATAGATTGAACTTACTTCTCCCGAGCCTGGGAACCTTCATCGGAGTGGCCATTTTCGTGCGGCCCCTTCATGAGCTGTGTCTGCGCCTCCTAAGCCGAACTTTCGCGCGTGCATGCGGAACGCTTAACGACATAGGACAATCTCCGTCCCGACTTGTCACATCTCGGAAGCACTCGACCACTGATAACTTGTTAAATTCATCAACCAACCTTTTTCCAGAATATTGGAGGTTGTTGATAGTGAGTATACACACGTAATCGCCTTCTATCTGGTTATTGAAACTCGGACTGACAAATAAAGGCGCTGATGTCAATCTCCTCTTCTTCGCCATGTTAGGTGGAGTTCCTTCCGTCTGAGCGGTCCCTAAAAGGCTCAAGATCGGGCTCCGATCATCGGAGCATCCAAGCTGAGGTAGAGGATCTGTAGACGGGTGACTGCGTATTACTGTCCCCAGATGACGATGCCTCCTCTAGAGCATCATCTCTGGAGCTTTCCTTCGGAGGAGCCCATTCTCCACAACCCAGCCTAGCGCCTGACTGAGTCTCAATAAGTTTCGTCTGCTATTGTCAAAGTGCCACTCTGAGCCCCTTATGGCACGGTGTAGCCTAAGAGTACACATGAATCTAACAAATCCGAAGATGAGGACTCCATCATCTCCTCTTCACTATTTTTCCTCTTCCCCTTCCTCCCACTTTCCCCCTCCGAGTTTTTCTTCTCTTCTTCGTCCTGAAACCCCTCCAGTCTAGCGGAGTGGTGAAGCGATGAATTTCTGAGCCGAAGGCTGTGCGCGGCCCCCCGTGAGGTTACGAGTATGAGATTAATGCAATTAGTGTGCGAGTCAGTGACTCGGAGTCACGAAGATTGCGAGACCGGAATTTCTGTGTCCTAGATCTTCCACGTGTCCTGTGCTATACGGACTTGGCATATGTGGGGGGCATTACGCCACAAACGAGATGAAGCTGAGCTAACGTATCGACGCAGACTGCATCATTATTATATGCACATTAGAGTATCCCAGAGGAACAGGTGGAAGTCAGTCGAGATGATTATACTTGTTTCAAATTGCGATAAGCATGAACCGGAGTGGCATTTCGTTTGTCGCCCCGTAGCGAGCTAGACACAGAATCTTAGCTGGTAACAACGCGATTGTCTACATTTCCAAACCAAGGCATGATGTAGAGTGGGGTTCATTTCATAGTTTGATCAGCTCAATTAGCATTGTAGTTCTTTTACCCTCTTTCATGTCTATTTTCGCTCGCAAGTGGATCGTGCTATCAGTGGCTTCTGCTTCGGTTACCTCCTGTTTCTCGTCATCTGCTCAAGATGACTATTGCCGGAGATTTGTTAGTCCTGATTCCTATTGTGACCATTCAATTTGCCACGGTAGTCTCAATAGCTGTACCGAGTCCGCGATCATCAACAGTGTACTTGGACGGCGCCAGGCTGATGCTGATGTTGTAGACTCGGATGTTAGCATCTCGAGTGGTGCAACTGGTGTTCAAACCATGCTTGTTACGAACTGGGATGACTACTGTCGTGACAAGGTTGGTGTGGCATCTTATTGTAAAACGTGGGACCGGTTTCCAGTTTGTCAAGGATCTGATGTGAGCTGTGGTGACGGTGAAATTGTCACTTCTACTATTCCGGAAACTACCCGAGCTGCTGGTGATAAAACTACTGTTCCAGTGACTACGACACGTTCGGCTGCAGTGCTTACGACTAGTGGTGGAACGGTTAACTGGGATGAATATTGTCAGAAGGAAGTGGGACCCACTTCATATTGCAAGGTCTGGGATGCATCACCAGTGTGTCAAGGCTCGAGTATGAGGTGTGGTAATGGTGCTGTGGTGACGACAGAGCATAACTTCCACCCTACTACTCCTCATTCTGGAGGTGACCATGACTACTGTCCAGGTATGCCTGCTGGTGAGTATTGTGGCAACATCAATGGCGAAATGGCTCTATTACTCATCGAAGGAGACGTGTTCTTTTTCGATTACCGATATATTCATGGGGTAAAGGTTGACCTGAAGGAAGTCCCCTTCCATCTGTACAACTGCGAGGAGTTCGTGCCCGATTACTCAAGTTGGCAGATGGAGCGTTTAGCCCGAGAGCTGGGTCTGACCACCGATCAGCTTCGTCAGAAACTTACCATCACGTATCGTCGATCTAGTGATAGCTTCCACTTTTATTGGGAGCCGAGTGTCTCGAGAAGTATGTATCATGACGAGTGTTGAGCCTGAGAATGGTCATCATCATCATCATCACGGTTACTGAAGTGCTCTTTCCTGCGCTTGTTGTCTGCTATGCTCCTCTCAGAGCTGTCTATCACCTTTTCTTTCGTCTAAGTCGATGAAATACTACTGGCTGTACTTCTTTTTTTCCGAGAGGTTCCTAGCGTGAACGCCGTGTGGATTGTACGGTACGGTCATGCGCAGCTGGCGTCTTCCAGCTTTCATCTAGGCGACCTTTGGTTGCCTATCTGAGCATTATGCTCTGCTGTGTGTCTCGTTTTTTTCCTTCTACTCAACTTGGTATGTGTAATGCTTTGAGTTCGAGTGAGGTTAAACCGAAGTTCATAAGGGAGGTTTGTCATGGACTATGATTCATAGTTATGTCTCTAATAGCAACATTATCGTTTTATCCCCAGTGCTATTGGAACAGCATTCAGGGGTTTTGCAGTCCAAAATCCGGACACCTATTGAACACACGCTAGAACGTTCTATTCTATGGGCGCTCACCCTTCCCGTTGCTTCGAGTGTGAGGATAGTGGGTTAAATTTTGTAGTTGTAAGAGGATTTTAGGTTTCTGAACAGTCTCCTCACATACGCTGAACTATTCCAAGTTATGCCATTTACCGTACCGGTACTCCAGACTGACCTGATTAACGATCAGACACCGCAGCACAACAATTGCGTTCGATCTGAGAACCGCTATTGATAGAACCGTGATCGCCGTCAAGATAACAAGAAGCCTGGCAGTACGTATGTACGAGGCGTGATCGATATTCACGTGAGTACGTAGCTGAACAGTCTCCTCACATACGCTGAACTATTCCAAGTTATGTCATTTACCGTACCGGTACTCCTGACTGACCTGATTAACGATCAGATACACCGCAGCACAACAATTGCGTTCGATCTGAGAACCGCTATTGATAGAACCGTGATCGCCGTCAAGATAACAAGAAGCCTGGCAGTACGTATGTACGAGGCGTGATCGATATTCACGTGAGTACGTAGCTGAACAGTCTCCTCACATACGCTGAACTATTCCAAGTTATGTCATTTACCGTACCGGTACTCCTGACTGACCTGATTAACGATCAGATACACCGCAGCACAACAATTGCGTTCGATCTGAGAACCGCTATTGATAGAACCGTGATCGCCGTCAAGATAACAAGAAGCCTGGCAGTACGTATGTACGAGGCGTGATCGATATTCACGTGAGTACGTAGCTTTTTTCCTAAGAAGCCCAATCCGATGAATAAGGTTGTGGTTCATTGAGTTACTAGTCTTCGCCGCTCTCCAGTGGACGTTGAGTTCTCGGGACTAGTACATCTGTTTTACGAGTCGTATCGTCAGAATATTCAGTTCTAAATGCGCGTCATACTCGCTGTGGCTGCTCTCATTGCGTTCGTCATGCAAGGATGTGAGAGGTGTCCTGAACCCTGTCCGTACTGCCTGGGCGTCTGCGTCACAGACGGTAAACACGGCTGCAATTGCATTCTATGATATGTCACCCCTACAACATCTCTCATGACCTTGCGAAGGTGTGTAATGATTTGCTCATGGTTGTAATAAACCAAGCTGTGATAAGATCAAGCAGTGATTCAGCCGCGTTCGTCTCATGAAAAGGCTTACTATTACCTGTCGCTCATCATCAGGCTTGTCCAGGAGCCTCAAAGTATTGAGGAATTCCTGGATAGTATATTTTGAATATTTGTACACCCGTCCCGTCCAGCGTCGTTCTCTTGTGGAGTATCAGCATTTGGTCTGCTTTGTCAGACATTCTGGAAAGGCTTTTTTCTTGTCAAACACGAAGCAACCTTGCGTTTCATGAGAGTGAATCATCAACATTTTTCTAGCAAGGCTGTAGGATGCAGAGGTAAGTCATGATATTTATGAATATATTGCCAGGCAACAGTCGTTGTTGATTTATATCGCTGATTCGTCCACTATGCTCAACTCCTTCTTCATCAGGAGAGACCTGCTGTCAGCAAGTTGCTGACAGCAACATAAGAAAAAATCTTATACTAAATTCTTGAGTTGGATTTGGTGGTTGAGTGTTTGGGTCATCCAGTCCTCGATTACACCTGATCGGTACACGCTCGAGAATAGTCATTGGCCACTTGTTGACCATGCCGTTGGTCGTCATCAATATGGGAGGTGAAATGATGTAAGTAGTAGTGTTCCGATACGACAACCAGGTATTGATAGCTATTGATAGCGCGTGATCGCCGTCGTGTGTAGTGAAGGCGTGGGCCATTCCCTTCGTTGTGTGTTCATCCTCTTCCGAACTTTCTATCAGGAAGGATGCCCACGATCGGCTTGGATGTCTCATAATGTGCAACGGTTGCTCTTAGCGCTTCCACATAGTTGTGGCAAGGATATACTCCCCAACACAAGACAATCGCCACATTGGAAGATGCTCACAGGGTGGATCCATATAAATGCGATGTTCACATGTCAGAATCGGCATTCATCCTTGGGGAGTCAGAAATCTCGAGTGGAAGTGCGGCCTTCGACTGGGTCACTGGCGTATCGACTCCATTGTTCCTCTCTTCCGCTTTCTCCCGTGCGATTTTGGCCTTCACTGACTGCCAGTCAATCTGAGATCCGCAGACATGAGAGCTCTCTTAGATGAGACACTGGGGACTCTTGACTACGGGAACTTCTGCTGCGTATCTTTTGAACTTTTCATTATTTTCCGAGTGTTTCATCGCCTCCAGATGCCTCATGCGGTAGGCTAGGACAGTATCGACATGAGTACGGTGCTGAACGGCGAGGTCCAGAGCGGCCTCCCAACGATGCAGCCAGATGTTGCTGAAATACGCAGGGGTGTTGAGCTGATATCATTTATTTATACAATTTGATCGCCCTGTATATCTTCCTATTTGCGACCAACAACTGTATAGCTTCGTTAGCACGTCTCGACAGAAGCATCATCTCCGCTTGCTTGACTATCGGGTCTGGCTGGTTCTTAGCGTGTCTCAGCATGGACATCTGAGAATTGAGCTTGGTCCCTGGACGGGGGTATTCTACCCAATACAGCCGTCGAAATGTCTCATTGCAATTACAAGGTTCATACCTTGCAAACATCAGATATCGCAGCTAGGGCAGTCTCGAGAGTGCCTCCAGCATCATTGACCTTCATCACCATCGCAGCCAGCGTGGCCCACAACTCTTTCACTTTAACGTATCTATACCACACCTACGAACAACAAAGACCAGGCCGACAGCGTCTACCTGCACAATTTGACAGCCTTATCCCACTGGCCCTTTGCTCTTAGCTTGTACAGTAGAGACGGATAAGGGGACACTGCAGTCATCGATCGACCACCGTAAGGGCTCCTCAGCACAACACGAGTGCCTATAGTGTGAATCGTCCTTGGCAAGAGTACTGTGCATACCAATGAAGCTTTCCACAGTAGTGTCTCCTATACCCCAGAAGCCGGCAGAATTTCCTTCTGTTGCGGAAAACTGCCGAGGAATCTCAACAGTCTCTATCGTGAGATTGAGTAGTTGTGGATCAGCTGAAGTAGGGTTGATCACCATTAGTAAGACTACGACTCGTACTGAATATACACTGGGGGTAGTTCCACGTGATAATGTGATGGTCGACGATGCCCACAAGCATATCGGTGCTGTCATTCCACCGGAAACTGGACACCTGTCAAGCGAGGGTAGCCTCGGTAGCACAAGCATAGTTACTGACCATGGCCTTCAGCTTAGGCATCTTCTCCTGTCCAGATGTCTTCATCGATAGGTACTGTGGATAGCCAGCAGTGAGCCATAGATCCTGATGGAGGAGTCTTGCGGTTGACCTATGGGCTTCCACTTGGCAAGTACCCCATTTTTGTCCAGAAAGGCGAGCTTTCTGTCGGCTACGTCCCCTATCTGGGAGAGGCCAACTTGTGTTACTTCAACTGATCACCACTTCAGAATTTCTGGATGAGAAAGCCCTCGATTTCACCATTGTGAGACAGCATCATGGGGCCCTTCCCAGAGGACCCTCCACCAGACGATACAAGGTCATACACGCAGAGGCTACATGGGTTCGATGGGTCGACATACCTGTACGAACCAGTGCAACCATAATAGATAGACCGTTAGCCTACACGAGCGTATCCTTCGAAATTGTTACAGTGAGGTGAGTGAGGAAGTCCAACCTCTGCTGGCTGGAGGGGCGAAGGTAGGACACTGACACAAGCCGTCCATGGGTTGTTTGCTACGACGACAGGAGTGCTCACATCTACTCCTCCTATCGTAAGCGTAGATGCCAATGCCCTTAGCATCAACCAGACAGAAGATCTCGCTACACTGGACAATGAGGGAGGTCGGATCTACACTTGGAAACTCGGCGTGCCATGATCGATCAATTCCGCCACCGTTGAGATCTTCTACAATTGGATTGGTCAACCAGGAAACCGAATCGGCCTCTTCGCCAGTCATTCGACGACTGTACCTGACCATAGGACGACTTGCGCTATTCACGAGCTGGGAAGTGATACTACACAAAACACTGAGAAGAAGTGGTCACGATGAGATGACCGTAGCCTATATGGAGGTCGGTAACTCGATCTGTGAAGTCGATGGTCTCCTCTGACGAGATAACTGCGAAATCTGAGAGTCTTGGAGCCTTCACCTGTCGTCTCTACGGAGTAGTCCTTTATAACAACACTATGTGCATCAATGAGTACGGCCTCCACATTGAGCCACGAGCAAGTACGGCCGATCACACTGATAGACAAACCGCAGCTCTGATACAGGCTGGCCAGCTCTTGCTAAGGACTCAACTCTGCGACTAGGACGGATCCGTCTCCCATACCCATGATCAGCTGAGTACCATCCGGACTCCAGCAGAGGGCGAACGGAGAGCTCCCCCCGGGACTCGTATTGCCGCATTGTTGATACAGGGCATGATCGAGACCAGAGAGGTTGGTGTCTGTTAGAGAAATCGAGTAATAGTAGAGAAAAGCAGAGCCAGGACCAATGTGAGAAAAATATGCACATGGTCAACTACATGTGTTGATGATGACAACAAGGGAATCCTCGTTGGTTTTTGCACATTCCTACCGAATTCGTATGTGAATTTATATGGGGAACTCCTAAGCTCAGGCGAGGAAACATTCCCATTGCACTGCCCATAACTCACGTGAATGCCCCCATCCAGTAGCATCACATAACTTGATCATATCGGATACTCCAACAGCTAGGAGTTTGCCATTGGGAGCCCACTGAACCGCTGTAGCAGCATGCTCCAGTGGATCACTGCGATACAGTAGCTGTCCTGTTGCCTGCCATATACGGTATCTGCCGTACCCGTCTCGACAACCACAGTGAGGCCGACAGGTTACCTGCAGTCCTCACTGCCCGATACTATGAGCTTTGTGACGGGACTCCAGTCTAAACAGAGCACCTAGGATGAGTTGATGGTGTGGTATGGCAAGAGGAGAATTACTTCACCACAAGGAGTGCCTTCCGATCCGCTATCGACGGCTTTCCACTGGATGAGACCGCGACCAGCCACGAGAGTCTTCAAATAAATTGATGGCCCACATGTAAACCTTCGAGACCCTCTTGTTGTGATCTCACGAATGTCATCCATCTACTCACGCTATAGTCTCGCTATCAGGGGACCAAGCGGCACTAACTACCGCTGTTGACACTTGTGCTAGCTGTGAACGGATCATACCGGTGCGAGACCAGACCTGGACTCGACGAATGGAATGTCCGATATCATAGGATAGGAAGGACCTTCACAGTTCCATCCTCACCACAGGAACAGAGTAATTGGCCCTCATGGTCCCAACGGAGGTAAGTTACGGATCCCCTAAGCTTAACATCTCGCCATGTTGTGTCCGAGTCGCAGCAGCAGCTCACGCATGCTTCTGTTGAGCTCTTCTCTCCTCTTTCCCTGATGTACTGTTGATGAACCGAATGCTACCGTCGGAGCATCCCAACACCATCGTCTCGTCACCTTATACGATGGTCATATCAGAATGACCACAGGGATGCTACCTCGATAAGCAGCCATTGTGGTGATATGAGAGTCTACTGTGCAGAGCTCGCCAAGTAGAGTGCCCTGAGGGGATTGTCGATGATAATACAGCTGACCGAGGGTGACCAAGTACATCCTTCTGGTGCCAACGGAGGACCCTTTGATCGTCTCCTGCAGATATGATCTCTGCCACACCCCCCGTATGGGAACTAGCTGCCTTTAGAGCTACTCCGGTACACATGCCTCGATGACCCTCGCCATCAGTGCTCGTAAGATTGCGAACAGCAAAACGCATGGTGGAGGAATAGGTGTGACTGACTTGAAGTTGCATCGTTTTTGTATTTGGTATACGCTGAGCTCATCTGAGATTGTGCGCGATGCTCGACTCATACTAGCACTGAACAGATTGACCAACAGAAGACTATCGAGGATGGAAAACGGTATGTTCATACCGTTGCAATTATACGTTAGAAAATACTCAGATTACGCGAGGCGAACACGGTACGTGTGCGAAAATGAGGGGCGCTGTAATGAGTTTCTCCCAGGGAGAATCTTTGTCGACATGTGAGTAACCATCAACGCAAATGCCTCCCGTGCTACCCTCAGAGCAGTTTGCACAGCCGCTAAGTAAGTTGTCTAGCAGGTTGAGCTCCTACACTTCACGTTCACCATCACAACTATAACCGACTGTACCGGCTTCCACACGCTACCCGTAGTTGGGAATGATACCACACCTAGCAGGAACTCAGATCAGGGCTATCCAATGCAGTTCATTATTAAACACATTGTATCATTGGATGTAAAACTCGTGCAGACTCTCCCTACTATAGGGAATCCACTTCCACATCTGTTGCCAAGTTTGGTTGATAACCACCGCTCCCAGCGAGATGCCAAGTTCAACAACAGCAGCAACACGAGTGTGATAGATTAGTGTCAACGATTAATTCCATCGCCAAATGCCATACGATAAGATCTTCAACTATAAAACAACAACACTACATATCCCTTATATTACTAGGCATGCATGATAGGATGATTTTTATGAAATTAACGAGTAAAATTACCCATACGAAACTACATGATAATTGTGGTATGGGATCAATCTAAATCACATAATGCAGCTTCCCATGGTCTCCACAATCGATATCTGACTAGTGAAGTAAGAGTGTGGAGTACCTCAACAAACAGCCCACCTACAGTTGCTATCAGCCGCTGCAGACGATGCAGGTTTCCTCGTCCTCCTGTACCTAGACAGCAATACCCCACTCTACCCTAACCATAGCCAAAGACCACCAAGCGGCTCTAGATTGAGAATATATGTGAAAAGCATACTTGGCGTCATATGTTCGCTATATTGTGCCAAGGGCCGATAATGTATACTCAGTATTGCCCCAATCAGGTACACTGTCTACTATCACTACTCATTTCCTTAAAATCTCAGTCTAGGAGAAAAACATTGGCGGACGACTCTTCCTAGTGGAAACTAAAATATTCACGTTTGACATGGTAAAGCGTTTATCAGCTCCAACTGGTGCCCTCACCCCGTGCTACATATTGAGGTTTCAAAGGTGACGACCTGGGCTTCAAGGGTGACTCCACTGTAACCTTCTTAGCATCCAAAGTGAACTGTATGGCATCAGCAGCAGCCTTCGTACGTAGATAATATCTTGAGACCATGCGTGACCAACTTCCCTGTGGAGCTGATGCACGTACTGTCCAGTTTTCAATCCCAATTTCCAGCCATAGAAGTGCATGGAGGAGAGCTTGGCATTGGTACAGTTGGTCATGTGTATATTCAGTGACTGAGATTGGTCAATATACCTATGAAGTGATATCACTGAGCTCATTCAATCACATGCAAGCCTACGGTCCTCGCCCAGCAGCCATGTCCAGGATTTTCTTCTGTTTGATCTCCCAAACCGTCTTATAGAGGTCCTATGAGACGAACATGACCATGCACAACTATAACATTCCCAGATCGAGTTGAAGTATAATTTTTTACCCATTTGGTTGATGTTAAGCCTTTTTCGTTAACATTTTTCCAAGGCTTTAATAAAATATCAACAAAAATAGTGCTATACCCGGTTTATTCGAAAGTTTACGAGTTTTATTTCACCAAAGACCTGCGCAGGGTAAACCATCAACCAAATGGGTGAAAAATTCAACTTGCCAGTAAAAAATTAAGTAAAATTAGTAAAAATTAATTTGACCTGGAAATGATGTAGTATTAACTCACCTGGATTTCCGAAGGGATCTCCTCTACACCTTGGACCGATCCCTTCTTCCTGATGATCTTATCCTTGATCTCGTCGTTCCACAAGCCTAGCTCCATAAGGTCATCCACTAGATGACGGTTCACTTGCACAAACTCACCAGCGAGCACCTAAGTTACAGAGTGATATCGCTAATAAATCGATCAATAACTCCTACACGGCGAACGTATATGTTCTGGGTATAGGGCTCGAAAGCCTCGTTGTTTCCAAGTATTTGCGCAGTACCTGTACAGAGCAGCCATCTGACGGTGCATACAATGGTGGAACTCACTAGCAGTAGGCATGGGCGCAATCAACAATGAGTTACGCATGCCGTTCTTCTTGATCTCCTCTTTCAACGAGGCCCAGTCCCACCTACCCGAATCGGGTATTACATCTACAACAGAATGCGCAACTACGACTGACCACAGTAATGCCCAATGTTGTTACCCCACATATCGAACTGGAGGATGCCCTCACTCGCGGGGCTACCTTGGAACGTTTCGTAAGGTCTACCGCCAAAAATACAATACACTCGGCAATCGACACGTAACAACTCACCCATCCCTCTTCGCGAGTTCCATACTAGCTTCACACGCGGCATGATAAATAGTCTCAAAAATATCATTGTTCAACTTCAATGCCTCCGGAGATTCATATGGGTAGCGCATGAGCAGGAATGCATCAGCGAGGCCCTAACCAGCTAACAACAGTGAATAAAGCGAGCCAATATGCAATATACCTGAACGCCAATACCGATTGGCCTATGGCGCATGTTGCTCTTCCTGGCCTCTGGCACAGGGTAGTAGTTCCGGTCAATCACCTACCACAATAGTCACCGCTTGCAAAGGGGATTGGCCCCACCTTGTTGAGATTTTTGGTCACCACCTTTGCTACTCGATGAAGACGGTCAAAATCATAAGTGCCTGCTACAGCATATCAAACTAGTCCTAGTGCGATCGATGAACTACGGGTCTTTTTATCAACGAACATGTTCAGGGCGATTGAGGCCAGATTGCACACAGCCACTTCATCAGAGCTGGTGTACCTGCCAGAACTCCATAACGAAAACCGCAATTCAATTGCTGTACTACTCGATGATCTCACAGCACAAGTTGGAACATCTGATGGTCCCGAGGTTTTTCTGGTTGCTTTTACGATTGGCCGAATCCTTGTATCTGCAATCAAGTGAGTAGTGCTAGAATACATATCTGGTTTCCTCTGCTGAGCTCAGGAGTTTCCAAAGCTAGACGAATTTGGAAAGAAGTGTACAGAAACCAATGAAAATTCCCCGAAATTTCCTCATTTTTTTACCAACACATGTAGTTGACCATGTGCATATTTTCCTACACCGGCAGCAGGTTCAAAAAATTGCAAATATTTATCCCATCGGAGAACCAACTTACAGCATATACGGAATGCCGGTCTCTTGTTGAGATTCGAGGATTTTGAACCACAGTGACTGAGCCTTCACCGTTTTCCGACCAATACCATCCTTCTCGTACTTCTCATACAATGCCTCGAACTCTTCACCGTATCTGCCGATCGAGATACCAACGATCACAGACCTGCAATGCTCCACGTACGTATCCTGCAAGCCAGGAGCTTCATTCGGGCAGAACAATGTCCAGTCACCGTTAGCCATAACACGCTTCATAAAGAGATCAGGAATCTGAGGACCTCATTAGCCTTCAACTAACAAGGTAGGCAAAAGCATACCCATAGTGCATAGAAAAGGTCGCGAGCACGATGCTCCTCCTTGCCATGGTTTTTCTTCAAATCAAGGAACTCGAACACGTCAGCATGCCACGGTTCCAAGTACACTGCAAAGGACCCCTTCCTCTTGCCTCCACCTACAAGAACACCATCACCTCTCATCAACCGAGCGTATCCTGTCACCTTGATCCACATATCTCGCAGTATCGTTGAAAACACGAAGCATCGGGACTATACCATTCGAGAACCCATTCGTTCCTCGGATGTAACTCTCTGTAGCTCTAATACCCGTGATAGCAACTCCAATGCCCCCAGCAGTCTTCGATATCATCGCACCTAGTTCACATATACCTCTTCCTGTGAATCCACGATCCTCAGCTTACACTGTTTCAAAGTGTCATAAATACCCTCGATCGAGTCCTCCTTGATCGAAAGTAAAAAGCAGCTGGACATCTGCGGGTGAGGGGTACCCGAGTTGAACAATGTAGGAGTCGCGTGAGTGAATACTCTCGTTGACATCAAAGCATATCTAATGCCAGCAACAAGGCGAACCCTCTAGAGCAGTAAACCAGCAACCCTTTTACGTCTCTATTGCCGCGTCCACATCATCACCATGTATGCCTACTGCCACCCTCATGATCATATGCTGTGGTCGCTCAATACAAGTCTTATCAGAAGGTCGTTTCAACAGATACGATCGCTCCAAGGTCTTGAAGCCGAAATAGTCATAGTCGAAATCACGATCATAGTCAATCGCCTATCACCAATATCATTCCACACAATCGCGTTGAAACCGTGTCACCTTATCGAGCTTATCAGCATTCATCTTGACTATGTTATAAACCTCCTCGCTGACCAAAGGACTAGACCGTCCACGACTATCTGTGATGTTGTACAACTCAGTGATCTGATTATCATCAGCTACAACCAACTATAATACCACTCCACCCACCGTTTCTGAGAAGCTCTCGTGAGTGTTCTTATGCAGATTGCTCACAGCGATCCTGGCAGCCAACGTGGAAAAGTCCGGATGCACTTGCGACATGTAAGCACACGTTTCAGCCGCTAACGAGTCCAGCTCCTGAAACAAATCAATATCGATGACCTCTGACACAGGCATTAGCCCAGCATCCCACCGTAGTAGTGACACCCGGGTAGATTCCTTCAGCAACCTTCTGAGTGATCTGGGTCACATCCACATAGTCCTCATTGAGGCCTCTAGTCAACGGACGAATCCTCTACCAAAAACGCGAATCGTCACAACAGAGATTCCACACCAGGACACACCTTGGTGATCTTATCGAATTGCACATCGGCCTTCTGCCCATTACGTTTGATTACGTACATAACCATCTTCGAGTGAGTTTTCAAACCAACAACAGAACCAACACATCCCTATTAAACAGCCCCTCTCAACCCAACATATGCTGATCCAGCGCATTAAATAGTTCCCCGATAGGATGATACACTCGCGCTCACTCGCCTTGCCACAGCATCAGTACGACAACAAGCTCGAACGCGACACTCCTCGCCCCATTGAAGAATGGATAAAAACACTAGTTCACTAATTCTTCGAGGAAATCGCCATACACTCTCCAACACATGGCCAGAAGCAGATCGTCCAATGACAGACCTAAACCCTCCTCGTCAACTCCAGGACAAGTCAAACCGGCTACCTCTCGTGAATTTACATACTACTCAAACCAAATTAGGATATAAACCACAGTATTGCATTCCAGAAAAAGTACAATTACAAAGGATACACACATCGGAAACCGTTCAACCGTAGAGGGTAGGCACTGGAACAAGTTCCAGGGCTACACTGTGGTCACGACTGGGAGGAGGAAAGCTGCACTCAAGCTATATAATATACTCTCGACGATCTACTTCTTAGTAGTGTGAAAGTGGTCACTGTAATACCTACATAGAAAGCAGTCGATGGAAATTGACCAGCGGGGAAGACCTTACAAGTCAGCAATGTAACTCTGTCGGTCAAGGACTGCGAAGTTCTTCTCCTGCTCCTTGAGAAATTCAGGCTCCTGCGATTTTCGGGTCGCCTCATCAAGCGCCGCGAAACGGTTGAAATCCGAGTGGGTCTAAAGAAGGTATGCTCAAAACAGAGTGGATAATTACAGCTTACGATTCGCTCAAAGTACTGCTTGAAATTATGGTCATTGAAACGGGAAGCTGCCCCCATGCATCTAGTGAACATAGTCTTCACCGCGGGCGATAGCGCATCCAACTTAGCCGGCAACATTGACATTAATGATGATGAAATCGGAAGAAAACAATGTAATTTTCTAGCGGCAGATATAAATCGTTGGCGGCGCTGTATTAAGCGCGCGCCCGAGCGATCGATTTCACGATAGGATAGACCATGTTTATTAGACATCAAGTAGCAGACGGCTATCCAATAATTGCCGTGAAAGACACCCCTTTCATTCTGGAGGGACCCTGGCTGGCCCGCGAGTCGCCACTGGCGACCCTCGAAATGTTAGAGCTCATGCAGAAAGTGAGGACCGTGATGGAAGATAGAGGGCATCGAATAAAGCATCATCGCGATATTCTAGTTGTTAAAACTGTAATGCAACGACAGTCCAAAATTCACTCAGCCGTACTCATCGTTGGTGATTCGGATCATGTCACCTACCCATCATCATCATTGTATTAATAACAAGTCGACATATGTAGCGCTGAAGTACATCTCACGTTAGGAGAGTTGACTACAAATACTAAGTAACAGTAACGTTATGAGCTCAATATGGGCATAATGCACCAGTGCTCCTCCTCCTCCTCCTCCTCATCTTCCTTCTACTCCTCATTGCGCTTCCTCTTGGGGCTCCAATTAGAGAACGGTCTACAGCAGCAAGATTCATCGTTACATTCTTGGGTCGTCTTCAGGCAACGTATGCCGATCTCCTTGAAAACCTTACGGGGACCTTCAGGGAAGTCAACCATACTGAAACCCAGTTCGCCGACTTCCCCTAGATACACGCTAGGGCCTGCTGTACCTACCCATCGTGCTGCACACTATCAGTGATTCGAGCCCCTTACCATCATCCCTATCATAACCAACCAGAAAGTCGAAGCGGTTGGCTGGACTGCCGTAGACACTTTCAGTGTCCATCCACTTGTAGAATTGGTCAATAATGTGGTAACAAATTCGCTCCACTTCTTGTAGCCTTGGCACATCACCACGGAACCATTTCTTCGCGGCCTCAGCAGTTTTCGTCTCGTGCTCGAAATCGATAAAGAGACCGGCTGAGTTCACAGCTCTGAATCTGAAAATACATGCAACTGGTGAATGTAATGACGAGAATAGGGAATACCTCGTATAAAGGATCCGCTCAACTTTGCCATTTACAACGAACATCCGCAGTTCCAGATCCACAGGCACCCTCTGCTGCACAAACACAGAGTCAACCTTACAGCCCTTCTGCTCGAACAGATCCAGCATTTGATAAGAGAGCTCTCCGATATTATCACAAGTTCTGAAGAAAGTATGGTATGAAGTAGACTAGACACCGACATTAAAAGCATCACCTAACATCAGCAGCCTCCCAGGAATACCCCAGCTTAGCAATAGCGCCTCGAGGAAGGGGCTTCTTCTTCTGCACCCCACCACTGGTCATATCACACAAGGCTGATAGCCGCTCCCAAGTGAGCTGAACACACAAGGCATAGGCGTCTACTACTACTACTACTACCACTACTACTACTACTACTACTACTACTACTACTACTACTACTACTACTACTACTAAGAAGCGATCGACCTACTCTAGCTGCACTATCTGGAGAGGCAACAACATGGCCACGAGAAACACGGGTCGTAGGGGGCATATGAAGGTCAGGTATCGTACATAGATGAGCATAGAATGCCTTGGACACGATCGTATCCAACCTGAAATATACATGCTTCGAGCAGTGTCTATAATGATTAACAATTTCATCAAAGTCACTAGAAGACTGCAGAGACAGTGATAGACTGTGTCCAGCTATAAGTCTGAACAGGGCGTCTCCCACTCGTAGAGATCACGAAGGCGTTGATAAAGCTGTGTCACGACCGAAAAAGAAGAAGGAGAGTATAGTAGTTAACACGAGGTATTACAAGTGGCTAGGATGGGGGAACATGGTGGGAACTCCCATGGCCTCTACACCAACCATCAACTCGAAGAAGGCGTCCTTATCGATGTATCCACCAGCATCAGTGATATTATCCTCGAATGCCGTGGGCCACAGGAAGTACCTTCATTACAACAATGCACAACAACACCAGATGCCCCGAGCCCTACATCGCAGCCTTATGGCGCCCAGTCAGCATTTGTCGTATCGCGAGGGGACTGATTTTCCTCAGATCTTCAGCACTGGTAACGAACGCACTAAGCACCTAGGAAAGGGTCAATGCAGTGGTGGTAGTAGTAGCAGTAGATTCGTATAGGTGATGACCTCGTAGTCGTTCTTCGCAACCTTCCTTATGCCCTTCTGCATCATATGGCATATATAAGTATCAGAAACATTAGAACCGGCCTCTCCCCAGCTCTGCCAGTCGTATTCGTTCACGTTACCAAAATTAGGATTACCCCACCGCACCTAAAGCCACACATAGCCTCCCAGAGACTACTATGTACATCCAGCGATAGTAAGTCGATCAAGCACGGGAGACAGCTTACCACAAAAACAGAGAGGCTCGGTGTCGAAGGCTCAGTAAGGCGGACGTCAGAGGGATAGTAGGCTTGCTCAATATTCCTAGTATCAGTTGTATTCAACACATCCTGTTCCCGATCAAACCATATACGATGCTCGTATCGTACCTAGCCAACATAGTTGAAATATATCTTCGCTTTACTCAGCTCAGGAGTGTCCTCACTAATTATAGGAGTTTACATACAAATTCGGGTAGAAGTGTAGAAAAACCAACAAGAAATTTCCAAAATTTTCTCAGAATTGCCACCAACACATGGCAGTTTGCCATGCACATATTTTCCCACACTGAGACAGAAACTAGGCACCTTGACGTAAGTCTCGTGACGAGCAGGGTTGAACTCAGCCTCCTTGAAGTCGTTGATGACAACTGCTGGCTGCCATCGATCGGTCCAGCCAATCTGTGGTCTGTTATAGCCTTGTACGTGGGTGTCGACGGCGAACCAAGCAGGGTCTCTAGGGCTCTTCTGCATTTGGTAGAAGACCCACACCTTGGTGCCGGCCTTCAGGTCACCAATGTTCGATTTGGGACTCTGCTGCTGTTGGTGATGGTGATGATGATGTGGAAAAGGAGTGGTATGCCCTTCTGAGCTCATTATGATATCTACACTACTGATCGCTAGCAATACCCCAGCTCACTCAAACGCAATAATAGTAGCATAACCTCTACAGAAACATCGTAGGTAACTACCTGTTCATCCCACATCTCTGATGAACCAACCCGTCCTATCCCCTCGTACGAGTGAACTATTCCTAATCTCAATGCTCTCAATATCCAAAATT